AAAAGGCAATGCTCGTTTACAAATATTGCGCAATTATTTCTAACTTAGTCTAGACAGAAAAAGCAATCATCTTTTCGTTTGACCATGAAATTGGAAGTTGACAAATTGTCTACGGAATATCATATTGTGATTGGACCTTGAACGTAACTTGATTTGACAGGTCGGCTTATCTCCTTACAGCAGACCCACAAATAGCACATTAGTCGTGATCTACCAACGCTTCCTCATTAGTTCCTAAGTAGAAAATATAATAAGCATGGATTCAATCACAATCCGGGCAGGCCGTAAGGAAGACATGTCACAAATCTACGACATGATTAAGGTACATTGTTTTCAAGCATTTCATCATGAATAGACTCTAAGTATTGCATATGTTCATTGCATAGCAACTAGCAGAGTTTGAAAAATGGCAGACCAAGTAAAAATCTCCACGGAAACTTTAATATCAGACGGTTTCGGACCTAATCCTGCATTTGCTACATTCGTCGCATGCCCAGCAACAGACGTAAACAAAATCGTGGGCTACGCCCTCTATTATCCATGCTATAGCACGTGGGTAGGCAAATCAGTATTCCTCGAGGACCTCTTCGTGCTTCCCGAACACCGAAAAGGCGGCGTTGGCAAGAAGCTCTTTTAGCAGTTGCAAAACTCGCACACGAGTCCAGCAAACGTATGGATTTTCACGTTTTAAGTTGGAATCCGGCAAAGGATTTTTACAAGGCGTTAGGATGCGTCAATCTGACTCAAAAGGAGGATTGGAATGTTTACCGTTTGCACAACGAGGATTTGGCTGAAGTTATCAAAGACATAATTTAAATTTAAAATTCATATATTTTTGACAAATCTTTGAAAACGAAAATGAATGGATTTGTGAAAAATGTGACTCTTACTTGCTAGTTGCGTCCTCGGAAAGAACCTCTACCGCGCGTAGGCTGGAAAGTTATTGATTGATTATGTCCATGACCGCCTCGTCCGCCACGTCCACCAAAACTTCGTTTATTTTGTCCCTGTCAAACAAGAACAAAAACACCAATTACAAAATATTTGAAATGAAACATTTGAACAAGTGTCTTACTTTTCCTCTGTGTTTTGTTTCAACTTGTTTGTGGCCAACCGTCCGACCACCACCCCTAAACTCACTATAATCAACTCTACTGTAGTCATAAGGACGCATTGCAGCTTCATTTTGGAAATCGGAACTTCTACCACCACGTCCGCGTTTGCCACCAGAATTATGTTTGTCATCGCGTCGATGTTTATCCCCCCTTTGATTTTGTTTGGAATTTTTGCCTCGACTTGTCGGGTACTTTTGATTATGATTATTAGATTTATTGTTCTTTTGCTTCTTGCTGGGATGCTCTAACTTGCTAGTTTTATGAATTTCTTCCTCATTATCATCTTTGGTGACAATTGTGCCAAAGCGGTCAACTGTATCACTTCTCTTTCGCTTTTTCGATCCAGGCATGCTTATCAAAGGCTGCGATGTATCCAAGGAAATCACCGAAGACAAAGATGCGGCAAAATCGTCACGGGCTTGCACTGGGGGCTCCTCTTTGCCTGGCCCTTGATCTTCATTCAAAGCATCCCTAACTTGTACGAAGTGTTCGTGCAACTAAAAATAATTTAATTCAAAATAGTTGAATGGAAATCCAAGAATGTACCAACATACCGCTGCAATACGATCATCAACTGACGGATCATCCTCAACAGTGATTTTATCTTCTTTTGGTTTTTCCTTTTCAGCAGCTTCGGCTTGGAGAAACGGTCTTATTAGTTTATACCTCTCGAAAGGTCCCAAAAATGTAAAACTAGGTTTCTTCTTAGCTCTGGGTTTAAGAGACAAGTCATTGAATATTTTACAAGACGATGACTGCTGTTCTAAAGGAAGAATATTTTCGTTAACATCTTTCATTGCTAAACAATTAAGCAAGGTGGGCAAGTTATCCTTGTTGTCTAGCTTCGTCATGTCGTGTGGACAATGCAGAGGGCTGTCGATATTAATACGAACAAGTTCTTTGCTCACGATTCGTCTATTACTTTCCTGCATTATTGGCTATGAAAAAATATAAGTTAGATTATATTTGACAAAAATAAAAACAAATTTAAAACCTTCTCTAACGGCTGTTCCCTTGCCCTCAAAATAATATGATGTAATTCCAAGGAATGAGCGCGCGCTAATGGCGGAATCGGACTGCAACAAGCGAGGATTCCTTGCACCTCTCGTGGCAACATTTCCGCTATTTGAAGCATCATATGATTGGGTAAGACATACCTATAAACAAATATTGACTATTTTTATGGCATGATAAAACAGAAATACCTTAAACTAATAATAACTAAAATTATGTGTACTTTTTTAAGTCATGATCTTGTTTCCACACCTTTATAATTAAGAGCGAGATTGATTAATTTGAATTCATTGTGTTTTGTTAAACACCAATGAAAGCTATTAATCACTTTAGAGTCAACAAGCGACCCACTACATCCACCTTGTTTCATCTAAATGAATGTCAAGTGATATAGGTTTGTTTACTCAAATGTGACGTCACAAGAAGTGAAATTTCTACCAACTAAAGCGCATTATACATTTCCACAAATTATAGGAGGTATTTCTTTTCACAAATCTTCAAACACATTTCGAGTGATACAAATTAGAATTACAAGCAATGATAGAAGAAGCGACACCACTTGTTTTCATATCTACCTTAAATAACTTACCCAGTGCTCTCATCCTCATCACGTGAGATTCCGTCTCGCCACTTGTAAATTTCCTTCAGCGCATACATCTGACGATTATCAAACATCTTCTTGCGCCTTCTACATAATTTAAGATGCGCGTCCGGCGTCCATCTTGGTTTAATATACCTCTGCAAAGCGAAAATTAAAACCAATTTCTAACAATTATTGAATAAACAACACTTACCATTTTACAAACTTCAGTACTAGCTTGAAACACTGCTCTTACTAAATTGTCATTGCCATTCGCCTGCTTATACAACTCCTTCTTAAGCATCTCATATACATAAATCAAATAATGTGTATCCTCACGCGCATAATCTTTCAGCGCCTGTGGCAGAGGACGTATCCTCCAATCTGCCAACTGAAACTTTTATTTGGCATAAAGTGACAAAATCGATTCAATAAATACGCAAGTGATAACCCGGAATAACCTAACGTTTTCGCCGCTTGATGCGTATCAAACATATTAACAATGTACAACGATAAATCGCGTTGCAACCACTGTATATCCATATCAGCACCGTGAAAAATCTAAGCAGAAAATTAAACGAATAAATTATGGACCTAATAATGAAAGAAAATAAACTATTTACCTTCAAAATGCTTGGCTTGGTAAAAACTTCATTCAACACATATAATTTATGTCTCAAACTTAAAGTGTCTACTAAATAATCTGCTTTCCTAGTGGATATTTGCATCAAACATGTAATACCCTGAAAAGTCCTGTATGAATGATGCTCCAAATCAATTGCAATCTCCTTGTGCTTTCTAAGTTCTTCAACCAGCTCATCCAACTGTTCCTCAGTTGTTATTTCATGAAGTGGTGTATTATTTACATTTTCAACAGCTGATGGCTCTTTTATATCAGCCAAAAATACTTCAGGCACCTTAAAGTGCTCCAACTCAAACTCATATGGATGTGACCATTCATCAAATTCTTCAAACTCTTCATTTGGCTCCAAATGCAAAGCCAGTGGTTTCAAAGAATTAGGTTTCTCAGTGATTCTTGGTTTCCAGGGATGAATATTACCATTATCAACTTTATCTTTAAAATAAGTCTGTGGCCTGACAATGTTTTTAGCTGTCAACAAATGAATTGAGTTTTGTCCTGTCAGTTTTGTCACCTACAAAGTAAAAATTTTTATCAGCAAAATTTAAAATCATGTGATTTGTTTTGTTAAAATTGTTGTATTTACCGTACTTTCGCGGTCGTTAACAGTTATTTTGTTCACTCTGTTCCATGATCCATTTACTGAGATATTTGCTGAAACTGTCTGAATTACAGGGGCTGCAGGTAAACTTTTCAACCCATTCATTTCATCAATTGCACCCACAGCTCTGTCAAGAATCACATCATTTGCTTCACCAATTAGCTCCTCCTTGCAAGCAAGAGGTGCAGACTTAATATTGCCAGCTATTTCATTAGCATTGAGCACTCTATTGATCAGATGTAGTATCCGATCACTGTCTGAATTTAATTCTCTAGAGAAGCTCTCATGAGTGTTATAATAGTCATAATCTCGATTTTTTGGCAAATCATTGGCTGCTTTTGTTGCCTCAACGAATGTACGAAATCCATTCTGATATAAAAATAAAAATTAATCTTATTTTGACTGCTTTTGAAAGCATTAAAAAACGCATGTGGTAACACATGGTGTTTAGGATAACCTGAAATTAGCTTCAGAGTAAATTTTAATATTACCTTAATAAAATCATCTAGTTTGCATGTCTCGGGAGCAGACTTCGAATCCATGTTTGTTGTTCCAAGAGAAGTAGATGTCATAACAATTTATACGTGTAACAATATAATTCAGTGTTGAAATATTTCGTGTAAACTTATTCCATGCTTAACAACTGGACTCTCCTTAGCAAGTGATGCAAACAGTTTTTAAGATAGGCAACTTATTACACATTATAATTGAAATGTTTCAAAACTTAACTTTTCATTAAATTTTCCTGGAATTCAAACTACTATATAATGCAAATGTCCCTTGTTTCCTATGCATACAAAAATTAATAAACCCTTAAACTATCACTAATTATAGTACATGTCTATTTCATAAATTTGCAGAATTTAGTAGGAGTAGCACAAAGTTTAATATCAAATTACATTTTAAACATTATTTGCAGAACATCATTAAAACTCGTTACAAACTATAACGATTTTAAAAGATGACTTACTTTACTGAGCTAACCGAGCTTATGACGGCTATCCTTGTGGGAGTCCTGTTCTCAATTTTCATGAGTGCGTTTTTATTTTTATCCTCAAATGGCACAACTTGTAGATGTATGTAATAATCAATATATTTCATTTATTTAAATACTGCAAGACACGCACTAATTGTTTGATTTTATGGTTCAGATTGCAAAGTTAATAACTTTACGAGTTGATCAATTCATAAGTTGTATGCGGCCACCTTTAAATCCTTCAATTCTGGAAGCAAGAGCAGCTTCCTTGACTCTAACAGTTACACACCTTGCCATTATGACTCAATATGAGTGCCGCAGCGATAATTTACCAGCAGAATGGATTTCCAAATTGTTGAATAACATTCAGAAACATATTGATGTGAGTATGTCTTCAAAATTATTGTTATACTCTTTAACATACTAGCACTTACCTCTTTGCTCATAAAATAATTTAATTTTTTTTCAGTTATTAAATTGTGAAACTGAGAACTTCTTTCATTCAAAGCAAAGCATCCAAATTCTGAATACTCCAATAAGTATTTAAAAGTATTCACTGCATAAACTTACTGCAACAAAAGTAATAAAAGAACTCCTTATTCAATAGTCTATGCATTTTATTTACTTATTAATCAAAGCCAGATTAACTTTCTTCCATTGGGCAACTTGTGCTTGTAATAATTCAACAATTTCCTGCTCCTTCTTCTCATGATGTTCCACCAACTCATCCATAACATTTGAAGACTCATGTTGAATCCATGTAACTGGTGTGCTGGTCGCGTCGTCTTCGATTGTCCGCTGAATCGAATTCACGATTTTCTTTGGAGAGACATTTTGCGCAAAGAACGCATCACTGGTCAAGACAAACTTAATATTGGACGGAATACTCTTCAATTCAAGTCTCTTCAAAATTTGGCAACTCTTAATATCCCACAAAATAATGCTAGAATCTTCTGAGGCAGATGCAAGTCTTGTATTGTATATATTTAAATCCAAAGCAACAATTTTTCCTTTATGGCCAATAAACTCAAATGGATCTTCTTTTACATGATGTTCTGTGGTTTTTGAAGGTAAAGATAAAGAAGTTTTTGAATGCCAATCCAATGAGACAGAGGCAAATCTGGATTTGAAACCAAATTTTTCAATATGCATATCAGCTAACAAATAAATAAAACTAATTAACAACGAGATAACTAGGATTTACTTATCATTCAAGAGTTGAAATTTTGAAAATCTCAAAATGCATCGCCAAAGGCTACCTTCACACAAGATGTGAAAAATCACGTTATGCAGAGTGCACAATAATTCAAATGACTAAATAATTAATGGCTAAAACGGTAATAACGGAAATTACATGTGAGAAGGAGTTAAAAATCTATTTTTCTTCATTTCGTTAGCAAAAACATTCATTAGAGTTAAAATTTAAAATGCCGATTGGGCAAAACAAGTTAAAATCTTAATTGCATCATGCCTCGCTTAAACGTATTAAATTCCAAATTGGAATACGTTTACACTCTTAAAACTAAAACTGATATAATTTTTGTAAGACAGTTACAATCTTGGCAACTTATCTATTGTTGTGGCAAACTCGAAGTCCTTCGGGAAAAGCTGCGCAGCTTGAGGGTACATCAACCTAAAAGCCTGCCGGATGGTGCCAATAGCAACACCGGTTATTTCTTCGATTTGTTTTGCGCTGCGTTTGTCCTCAGAAGCCTGCATTAAAACAACAAAATCAAGTTAAAATTAACACATTCAAGAACATGTCACCTGTGAAGCCATGTAAATAGCTGCAGCTGCAACAGAGATGGGCGAACGTCCAGATACAATATCCATCTTTACCGCCTGTTCAGCAATATCCGTTGCTACCCGTTGCACCTTGTACGGTAGTTCCAAATTCGAACCAAACCGCGCCATAAAATCCCCGATGTAGTCGAATCTACCGATATCTTCAATACTTTCCGAACGTAATTATAACATCGACTGCTCTCCACTTTGCTAACCATACTAACAGCACAAATCTCCTTAAAACCTCGTGGCACCCCTTCCTGCCTGCAGGCTATATTCAAACATGCCGCTATAATGCCATCGCTTGAGTGACCCCGTAAATGTTTGCCATCCTGCACTCGCTTAAACAAAACATTCGCTCGATCAACAATACAGCTGGGCAAATTCATTTTATCTGCCATTGAAGCAATCTGTAGAAAGCCGTCCTCAAGTGTCCTGTTCGTGCTTGTCAATGACTTACGATTTCGATATTTTGGCCCACCGATTTTAAATTTAGAAGGGCCACTCGGACTAGGGCCTATTATGGTGGTTAGATCCGATCCGCTACGATAGGGCTTTTCAGGTGCACCAACACGAGAGCGTTCTGTACTAGACTCCTCATTATTGAAAGTCCGCCACTCTGAGCCACGATCTACTACTCTGTAAAGTTATTTCATTTACAAATATGAGTGTACCTGGTATAAATGAATAACTTGGTAGAAAAAATTGAAAAGAAAAATGTGTTAATAATCCATACTATACACACGTTGGTGATTGTTTCTATATTTGATAGTATTGTACAATCAAATGATAAATACCTGTGCCCGACAACTAAACCACAATCAGAGCATATCTGGTCTCCTGCACTGGAATCTTCAATTAAGGCAGCATCTGGATGTAACGGACAAGCATCAGATCTATGAAGACAATAAAAACAAGCATTTCAGTTTAAACATACCCATATTAATGTAGAAAAGAAATAACACTTTAATCAAGAACTAGTTAACTTCTAGATTACAACCACACAAGTGATTATATTAATTGCTAGCGCTCTGCCTTGGTTATGCACGGAAATAATTTCGAAACAAAGTCTGCTTAGAAAAAAGATTTTAGCTTTCATGAATACTTTTTAACTCGATATGCGCTCACATGCAAATGATAATTTAATGCACATAAATTCTAGCACTCTCATCTCATAATTTACACTTTTCACAAATTTTCTAAAAGCATCTTAGCAGATGCATACATTATAAAATTATGTGGCAAATTATTTATTGACTTAGTAGTAGTTTTGCCTGTCCGTTGGTAATCACCCAATATAAATAATTAATGCTATTAATTGCAAAAACGCATTGTAGTTTAAAATGTTTATGTGTTATGTGCAATTTACAACCACCTCAAATTGTTATCATAGAGACTATAATATCAAGAGTAAAAAGTATCAATGGTACTCTTCTTACTTAGTGGAAGTCGCCATATTGTTACACCTAATGTTTTCATTTAACTACAGAAGACTATCGCCAATTCAATAAATTGTAATCCACTGAATATTCTTTTGTACTCTACCATACTCTACGTTTCGATGATAACGTAGGGATTGTAGGTTATCATCTGTAAATACGAGGACGCGATGTTTTTAAGTGGGGCAAATGTGCGACTTAACGAATATGAATTATAGAACATAAGGCATTTTATAAGATATACATAATGAAGCAATCAAATTCCTTTACCCAAATTTTTACAAAAGTGTTTTCATTTGGTCGTAAGTACTTAAATTGATGAATTTTCCTTAAAACAAAAAGGCTCTAAACTGACTTTTTGAAACACAGCTTAGTTCTGGCAAGTGAAATAGAGGCCGCCATGTTATGAGCACAAAATGGGATATCAGCCGAATCGACTCCGTACTGTTGCTCTGACCAAGCAATGCGCAGGCGCGCGTTCAAGTCCTTAAAATTAAAAGAAATATAAGGCCGTAGCTGGGACATCGAGCTGTTTTAAAACTTTCATTAACAAACAAATGAAGAAAAAAAAAAACATTAAAAATCTCAATGCTAAACCTACTCAAAGTTAAGAACAAATAATATATGGTAGGAACTAAGAACACCCGCCTTAACACGTGTTGCATGTGTCAACCTGTTTGTATATAGATATGTGACACACTGTATAATCTACGAACAAACGGGTTAGATCTGGTAAAGCTTAAAATCAAACAAGAACTAAAAGACTCACATATAATCCCAGAAAAAGTAAACAATTATGCACGGAATAAAATTAATATGCATAAATATCTGTTTATATTCATTAATGCCAGTAATTTCGCAAAATACGGCAAACATTCACGGCCCAGGATTGGATCCAATAAATATTATTTTACCCGCCCGCTACTTCAGCATAGTTTTAAATGAAAACTCGAACAAGTAAGTTACTTTGGGTTGCAGTATTAATGTAATAATGTAATTATTTAAATTGAAGGAGCAGTGCCATTGAATTTAAAGCCAGAGGACATGCATTCAACTCAGGGGATACAAAAGGCCCTGCAGAGTATGGCACAACATACTAAATAGAAGAGATGGTTCATTCATTGCCAGATATAAACTGTATGAGGAATGCATTAATTTTCAACTAGAAGTTACCCAAGATGGTGTTCATCTAGGAGGATCTCCATATAAATTTGGAAAGGCTGTGATCAAGCATGAAATGTGTAATTGTCCTAGAGATTTCAATCACTGGTTAGTTAAAATCAGTGTGGGGATGTTCCTGAACAAGTTCAAATGGATCTGCAATATTTTCGTAATATAAATTGGGCAAAGTTAAGATCTCAAGTAAGCAACTCTCCTAGAAAGTCTTTTTACATTCATTATCTGTTTTTTAAGGTCATTGAACGTTTTAATAAACCGGAAGCAATAAGTATCTGTCACTACGTGATATCGGACAATCGCCTCTACCGAAAATGTTATGGCGAACACGTGGGCTTCAAAATGTTCACGGACAACATCCTCTTATTCCTACTACGGAGAATCAAATTTCCTGACATGGAGTTCATGACGAATCTGGGCGATTGGCCGCTTGTGCGAGAAAAGGCCGTGCCAGTTTTCTCTTGGTGTGGAAGCGAAGACACTTATGATATTGTCATGCCCACGTACGATATTACACAAGCGACCCTCGAGAACATGGGCAGGGTTACGCTGGATATGCTCTCAGTACAAGGAAACACGCCGAAACAATGGGATGAGCGAGAAGCAAAAGTTTTCTGGCGCGGCAGAGACTCGCATCCGTCTCGACTAAAATTAATTGACATTGCCAAAGAACATCCGGAACTATTCAATGTTTCCATGACAAATTTCTTTTTTATAAAACAAGCAGGAGAAATATGGGCCGAAAAGTCCGCATGTTTCGTTTTTCAAGTTTTTGATGTAAGTAATTAACCAATCATAACATTCACACTGTCTTATAAAACGGGTTTGTTTTAGTACAAATTTCAAATTGGCATTGATGGAACTGTGGCCGCATACAGGTTTCCGTACCTTCTGGCTGGTGGTTCTCTTATTTTTAAGCAAACTTCGAAATATTACGAACATTTCTACCACCTCCTCAAACCAGAGGAACATTACATTCCAATTGAAGAGGATCTAAGCGATTTGAAAAGCAAGGTCGATTGGGCCGTCAATCATGACGATGAATCTCAACAAATGGCAAAAATGCTCAAGAATTCGCCAATAACCATCTCCTTCCCAATGATATAATTTGCTATCACGCGCATCTTTTAACGAGTACAGTAAATTATTATCTGGTGATAATTCCTTATTGGATGGAATGGAGGAAGTTCCACAACCGACAGAATCTCAAACGTGCCAGTGTCTTCCTGATCAATTAAAAGATGAATTGTAAATTTTATAAACAGGGTTTGTCCTGATTCACCCTGTATTTTTTATAATGGATTCAGCAGAACAAAAATATATTAATAACGTAGCAATAAACAAACACGCTAGGTTCCATTAAATTAACGATATATTCGAAGGAACGAAACTTACTGTTTGCTAATGAATCCATATTATTAGTTATTTATAAAATTAAATCATAAATGCAGTCGTTGAACTTGAGAAGTTGCTATGTACACACGTGTATCTACAACTGCACTATGATTTTATAATATTGCCTAGTGCAATAAACGCCCGTGAATCAATTTGTTTAAATTTTTTTCGCATAAATGTCCGATATTATCAAAAATAGGTTCAATTACTCAATACGCAAAATCACATAGTATTCTATTTACTAAACTATAGAGCAAGCATCGTTGCCAAAGACGAGCGTTCGAAAATACGCATCAATTTCGCTTTAAAAGTCCGAGCGTTCACATACTAAGTTGCATTTCACTGTTTACAAACCGCAATTTGTACTAAGGAAATATGAAATGCAATCTGGGTTGATCATTAACGCAAAGCTCCTAAGATAGAATCTCAAATACTGAAAATTATCTACGTTTGCAAAACAGGCGGGGTTTTACAAACTCTTGACGAAACATCGCCAAACGCTATAATTAAGTTAACCGCGTTAATCACTAAAGTCTGTCACGCGTCCGAAACTGGCAACTATTTAAGATACATAAATAATTATCACAAGTTAATTTTTTGCTTAGCATTCGCGAATAGATTTCATGCACCGAAAGTCCTACTTGTGAATTCACTAACATAAACACCACATCCAGATGGATATGCGCGCGCTCAATGCGGCAAAGTGTGTGTCATGATCGGGAATGACACCATCGGTGCGGTGGCGTTTGACATTGCGAGCGTTTGCGAAGTGTTAATGCCGTTGATCTGCGTGCCTCGAGCACCAACATGCAGCTCAATCTGCTGGCTCGGCGTTAGATTCTGTTGGGCCAGCAATTGCTGGCTGGTACTGGCCAATGCCAACTGTTGGCTGACGTTTGCCGCAACCGCCAACTGTTGTGGTGTATTGGCCAGCGCTAGTTGCTGAGCCTGAGATGTAAGCTGCTGGGTGGTGTTGAGCGCAGTGCTTGCCAAGGCGAGTTGCTGCGCCTGAGATGTGAGTTGTTGTTGGGTATTATTCGCGGCGAGGGCCAGTTGCTGAGCTTGCGAAGTCAACTGCTGGTTAAGCTGCTGAGCTTGATTTGAGAGTTGTTGACCGAGCTGCTGCGCGGCTTGCTGCGCTTGGGCAATCTGCTGACTGCTGCCGATGGTGGCCTGAGGGGTTTGTTGTGGCATGGAGGCGAGTGCCAACTGTTGATTGGCAAGTTGTTGCGCCTGAGAGGTGAGCTGCTGCGTAGTGGTCGCTAAGGCAAGCTGCTGCGCTTGGGACGTTAGTTGGGGTTGTGCCTGCTGCGCCGCAAGATTGTTGGCGAGGTTTTGCTGGGCAATCGCCAACTGCGCTTGAGAACTGTTCGCAAGAGCGAGTTGTGTTGACTGATTAGTTGTAACTGCACATATAAAAGCATTTATAATTAATTTAATTACAAGTATGACTTAAAATTATGCGCGTTACCTAAAATTTGTTGACTAGGGGCCAAAATTTGGGCCGCGGGTGCAATACTGACTTGGGGCAACCCACAGAAACAGGATTGCACGTAGTCACTGTGGCCAAGGAAACAGGCACGGTAGCAACGCTTGCGGCAACCGTGCGCAAAACCTGCCCTTGGCTATTCTGTGACAAAGTATTCGTAAGGGTGACGGGCGGCATCGATACCGACCCGTTGCGTTTACCTGAGACTCTAAGAGTCGCGTTTTGATCGAGCAGGAATTCATTCGTAGCGGTCAAGTCTGAAACCTGTTTCTTCAGTTGCGCAATCTCCTTGTGCAATATACTATTCTCCTCTTCCAACATGAGCATTCTCGGATCAAGCCTGCTTAATACTTGTGGTGGGTTTCCGGGAAGTACCCTTTAAATCCTCGATTGCAATGCAGTCCATGTACTTCAGGCGAGTCCAAGCCGTTGGAAATATAGCGTCGTTTGGCTGCTGTGGGGCCATACTCATCTAATTCCTCCAAGGACTGCACTGGTCGACCAAGGATCGTCGCGCTTTCATAAATCTGTGTCGGTTGTGCATCCATCACCAAGGGTGTGCTCGGGACAACATGGTTTCGGTTGTTATTTTTAATAAGTCGCATTATCTCGGCATCTTCCTCCTCTTTGCTAATGTGTCGATACTTGCAGTGTGTACGACGGCAGGTACCCTTACGGAATGAATTACAGATCGGATGAATTCCCGGCAATTGGTTTTGCGGGTGGCTTCTGTCAACACCTGGATGGACATTGCACCCGTTCGTTTATAATCGTCCACTTCGTCTGGTGTGCAATGAATAAATCTGAAAATATTTATCTTTTATAGCAATTTAAATTGCTTATTGTGAAATATAAATCATTTTTAACTTCATAGAAAAAGCGTGATCGCTATCTAATTCTTTCAACTAATTAAATTATGTTTGCGCATGAATACAATTTACCAAGTCAATACAATACATTAATTGACTTTCAAGCTGATAGTCCGTTTTATATGTTGAAAATAAATTAAAACGTCTATATAATATAGATAGAGGTATAAATATACGTACTTGCAAGCCTGCCGTGGACACGAGGAATTCTGAAAGTCGTGGCAAAAGCTGAGCGAGCGCGATTCGTACTCATGCTTATACTTGCAGAACTGGCGTTCACACATGCCGCGGAGGAAATCTCTGCACACGCTATCGCAGCCGTGGCTGCCATCCTGTGGCGACGACTCTTCCGATGTGTCGGACATGGTGATCGAATTTTTCTAGCATAAATAAGAACCTGCAAAAATCGTAAATACATAAATCAACTTTTCGCGCACAGCATGCTAGAAAATTTTAGCATAACAAGAAAATCGTGTTTACATAAAAGGCGATCCGAAATTGTTTTACTTAACAAACAAAAAATACTTTAACCAAAAACCAAACATGATAAATTTTAAATATTCTTGAAACTTCAAGAAATTCTCTTGAAAGTTAATGCATTTGTATTTAAACAGACGTGTTAAACATATTTGTTTTGGATTTTATTCAGGGACAAAAACAATGTATGGCGCATGTGTTACAAGATCGGTTGATGCTGGTGGCGGCAATATAAATATAAAAGGCGCCTGAAACCGCCCTCAGTTTTTCCTGCGCAACGCAACCATGGCATCGAAGCTGTACCTCTTTTCGTTTATACTCTTTGTTTGCACTGCTTACTTGCAAGCGTTGAACGAAATACCTGGCGAAGAAAACTGCGAAACTTTGCCATCGGAAATTCATTTAATCAAAGGTTAATTTTTTAATTAATTTAAAATTAAATGCAGATAGCTAAAATGTGTTTTTAGAGGAATATGACGAATTGGGAAGACTTCAACGAACTTGCAATGGGGAAGTGGCTGTGAACAAATGCGAAGGCACTTGTAACAGTCAAGTACAACCATCGGTTATTACACCAACTGGATTTTTAAAAGTAAATATTAATCAAATTTTCATATTTTGATATGACGAGATGATGCCCTACACAATATCAACCTTGACTTCATTGTTTATTTCCACTGCAGGAATGTTACTGCTGCCGCGAAAGTTATCTGCGCGAGCGTGTGATTACGCTGACTCATTGTTACGATCCTGACGGAATGCGGCTGACAGCCGATAGCCAGAAACAAATGGATATCAAGCTGAAGGAGCCGGCCGAGTGCAAGTGTTACAAGTGCGGCGATTTCAGCCGCTAATTTTGCCACCGAGTCGCGAAATACGCGCGCAACTTCAGCAAGCCATAACTGATGCCATTTCTATGTGACATGCTTTTGTTATTTTGTAAAATGCCCAAATAAATGTCTTATTAATTTAACCATAGTTTAAATACATTCCGTCAAATAAAAAATTGAAATTGTTATTAGAATTAAAAATATCCTGAACTTAAGATTCATCATCTTTCCTTTGTAATCTACATGTAATATACTTCTAATTATTAATAAAAAATAAAATATACACAAATTAACGAATAACCTGCTTAGTCTTCTTATAAAAAATGAAACTTTTGACCTTACCTAATCTATTGGTAAATTAAATCTTTGGTGCAATTCGAGACTGGTGGCACCCTCGACGTTCGCCAAATAACCAATGACTGCCTGTGCAAAGTCTTTCATTTCATTGTAACGATGCAATGCGTGAATCTCCTCTTGATTGTAATCTCCGCTTGTGGATATATTGTTGCCCAGCAATAGACGCAACTTTTCGTCGGCAGCAATAAGCTCCTGCTTGTAGAGTTGCAGCTGGCCCAGGTCAAGCTCGTTGACGTCCTTCTGCGGCGGCAGCGACGCACCCACCATAATCACCCATGCGGACCTGCACGCACAAAAACACGCAACTTGTTTACACGAGAGCATAAATAATGGATTTTCGTGTTTCCCGGCTGACATTGGAAAACACTAAGTGTTTAAATAGCAAAAGAACGTGAAGAAGCTGGCCGCCCGCCGCGCTAACAGGCCGCATCTAAGTGCTTAAAAGGGCGCCGGGAGCGCACGGACTGTTTACATGTTATGTGCATGTTCAAGTTCAATCGATGCGTTCTCCTGGCGCTTTCGTATCGTCGTCGTTTAATTTTTCCTCTCACTAGGCAAGCAAAGGTTTTCTTTAGAAAATCATGTTAATACCAAAACAACACTGCTTGTGAATGATAGCTTGGTAGCTATGGATGGAAGCTTTATAAGCTCTGCAACATGATCTGGCCAGTGGAGTCTAGAATTATACCCAAAAGTGGTAACACTAGCAGTGATACCCACATGCATCATGTGTGGCTTTAAACTTGCAAAAGTTTAGGTAATGTTAAGTCGTTATAAACTGAAAATTTGATTACTAAAATTGCATTGTTAAATTAAAGGAAGTAAAATCAAATACACAATTGTATTGATAATGGTATCAAGCATGTGCCTGGATCCCCGGATGGCAAAAGGCACCACCTCAACAGATGAGTGTCAGGTTACACCAGTCATCCATGTCTTGCAATACCCAGGATGTGTACCAAAACCAATACCGAGTTTTGCGTGCATCGGCCGTTGTGCATCATATTTACAAGTAACTATATTAACACTATAATTTATCTTAATGTTCAAGACTCACCTTAACTGCTTGCTGAACCCCTTGTGTTTTGCACACTGTTTACCCAGCCAGCTTAGATTGTTTTGTTTTCCAGGTGAGTGGCAGCAAAATCTGGCAAATGGAGCGTTCGTGCATGTGCTGCCAGGAATCGGGCGAACGGGAGGCCTCCGTTTCTCTTTTCTGCCCGAAAGCCAAGCCTGGAGAGAAGAAATTCAGAAAGGTGAGCGCGCACAACACAAACAGGTCGCTTGCTACGTACCTACCTTAATGAAATTTGATGTCCGTGTTGTCGGTGAGGTTATGCGCTGCGAACAACTCTGCTTACACAACGCGCCTCGGAACGCGAAGCCCAATGCGTACGCGAGCGGTGATTAACGGCTCGACGTTAATTAAAGACGTGCGAGGGACAGCACAAATTACCGATCCGCACAAACACACAAAGACGCCATTATCACGAATCATTAATGGCCGCCGATAAAACAGTGTGCGTCGACCTTGCCTGGGCACCGACGTGTGACGTAGGCAACCGCCGCGAATTTTAAAATCGCCCACTTTGCATTTGTTTCACACGCTACTGCTATATACCTTTGTACCAAACAGCATCATTTGTTCGTTTCACAGGTATCAACAAAAGCACCGCTGGAGTGTATGTGCCGTCCGTGCACTGGAGTTGAAGAGAGTGCTGTGATTCCGCAAGAAATCGCCGGGTATGCTGATGAAGGTCCGCTGTCGAATCATTTTCTTAAATCGCACGCCCAATAATTTCGCAGGTGGTATTCTTAGTTATTTTATGTGTTACAACAAAAATGTGTTCATGTTCTAGTCCCAAATTACCAAAATAAACAATTCTCTGTGCTGCAAATACGCATTTAAAACGTTTCATCCAAATGAATTCAATTATTCTAATTTTTGAACGTTTACTGTCATTTTATTTATATGGGAAGTACCTGCCGAATAAGTCGATATTTCGCTGAGTTTTCTGCAATCATAAATGTACATAAGAAAAGCAAGAAATAAAACACAAACGAACTTTCTTGATAAGTTTACTTAAAACGTTTCCACTCTCGTTCACAGTTCGTCTTCACTAATTTACGCGATTTCGCTTTCATCTGAATCCGTCTCCGAACTCCCGACATTTCAAACGTCACTTCACCGTTCCGAACCAATCAAAGAATAATTAAAGAAAAAAAGATGTCACATCATTGATCATCAGAATCATTTTGTGACTACCTTCATCTTTCCTTGTTACAAATTTCGTATTTTCGTTAAAGTCTCTCAAGATCCATTCATTTATGATTTAATTCCGTCATACAAAATCCTATCTGTTTACAACAGTTTGATATTCATCGTGTCTTCATTCAAGCATCGATTTGTTTAAACATTAGTTTCGGGCTAATTTCTGTGTTTAAATTGTTCCTTCAAACGCGCCGCAGTTTGGTGCGTGCGTTCGGTTTCTCATTTTCGTTCAGTGAGTTTGCGGCCAGTTGCATGTCAACATATTCGGCTAATTATCAACAACATCCGTACGCAAATAAACATCAGATCAGCGTCTGCACGTTGACGAGAACAAATTCCCATTTTGTTTAACTATGTACAAGTAATAGTGAATAACATATCTCAATCGGCGCGCATTCTGCGCGAGTACCTCGTCGCTCGCAACTTGTAATTACAATAATCATTTGTAGCGCGGAGTAAAACTCGTCTGCTTGCGCAAATGTTTAGTTATTTCTCTGAGCAATGGTACTTATGGTAGGTTGTCACCTCGTCTTTTACAATGCCAACAACCTGGAAGTTCATATTCATTATTTAGTAGCTTTTCTATGTACAATTATACACATCATCAGTCAGAAAAATACTGTATATAAGTTTTCGGTTGCATCTTGTGACCGTCTTCGACGCGCGCGTATCGCTAACACAAAATTGAACAGACAACAAAACGAAAATCATATATACAATATTCTGCGTCCTACCAAACGTGTAGAATTCGTTTCGGCATCTCGCTATCGACAGGGCGCTGCATTTTCCGCGTGCCTCGACCTGCGTCCGCACCAATTAAAGGCAATTGCGACGCATTTGAAATTCTATGAGTAGGTTACAAACAAAACTGACTAGCACAGTCGCTCCGCGCACGGGACAAATGTATGGTTTCGTCGGACTAAACATTAGAAAAATCACTTACATACATGAACATAAAAAGTTGTATATAAAAATATAAACATTACTTAGATAATGTAGAAAGTAATCGAGTGTGTGAGGGCGTTCGCGAAAGATTGCTTACGCTGAAATAGGCAACAATCGCGAGGACCTGTTGAGACGAGGGTTCTTTCTGTGATCGTGTGATAGGTGGTAGTGTCGCATTGATTCGTCCCCACACTGTTTTCAACAATCGTTTTTTTCATTCTCTTGCTTGCTTGCGGCCGACGCAGTCTCGCAAAAATCATCCACAATATATAACTTACAATAACTTAACAAATACAGGTAGTTGTAGGTGGTAGAGGCTAAATCATAATAAACGCTTCTATAACAAATAAAAATAACAAAATAATAGAAGAGTTACAATGATTCATCGGTAGAGACACGCTGGGCGCCTGACGCGCGCCCGCGACACATCTACAAAACATTCGTATTCAAAGTTTCAACAAAAACGACTTAATCAATAAGTTCCCGCATCTCGCACAACCTAATACGGCCCAATAAATAATGGATTTTCAAATGTCAGCGCTTCGCAATTAAATCTTGAATTTAAAAAGAAACATTACCATCATATTAATTAATATAAACATATATTAAAACATAGTAGCGCCGGCAGGCAGTGCACATCTCATAAAAAACACTTTTTTATCGATTTTTTTTTAGTACAACTGCAAAATTACAGAGGCCCGCGCAGGCACACAGCTCCATCATTCATTAGGCCTAGCTACATAGTCGTAAAACAGTTGAATCAATTTCGTTATGTAGGTCTTTCGCTTGTGTTATCCCTTTAGTTTAAATATATATTTCATATATATATATATATTTGTTATATAATTATTTATAATTTTTGCGGTCCATGTTCCAAGTTGCTATATGAAGAGGTCAGTCACAGGGCACTAATATTTAGGTGTTCGATCGCGTTTAGATTAACAGTAGTTCCCGGGCATTTTACAGTTTTAAACTTGACGCGCACCTTATAGTTTAGAATGCCGTTTGAATTTCATAATATCTAGGAAGTGTCGCAGTCCGGTGTAAGTCGACGCGGTAGCTGCCGCCTACGAATCCCTGTGGTTCCATTTCCACGCTTGGGGCGGCTATGCTCGCGCCTCACAATTCTTCATTTATATAAAGTATATAATATAATATATATAATTAAATAATTTTTACCATTTTTGTTTTTGGTTTTTGTTAAATATTTGTATATATAAACAATTGTATAAATTTTAACTAGCACAAAGTCACTGTCTTTAAAGAAGTTTTTAAGTTTTTTGTGGTGTTGCTTCGTGAGGGAGAGAGAATGTGGGGTATGGGGGTAGAGCAAAGTCATCACTATAGAACGTCATGCGCGTTTCACGATTGTGTTCGTTTTTCGCGTTGTCGCCGTCGAGCACGCATTACTGCTGCTGCTCAATGTGCTTTTGGGCGCCCCGTTGGGTGGCGGCCTGGTGGTGCTTTTGGTGGCTTGCTCGCTGCGTTTTTATAGTTTTGTAGAGTGTCGACGATCAATTCAGTAACTAGGAGTGCGCCGAGCGCAGTGTTCGTTAACATTCGGCCGCCCATTCAAGCGGGCCGAAGACGATCTGATGCTAGTCCTCCGATGACGAGCCGGACTCGTTCTCCGACTCAGTCTCTTTCAGTTGCGTGAAGAAGCTGGTTAACTGTTTTACAGCAACACCTACACCAAAGGCAAATATACATTAGAAACTATTTCGTGTACACAATTAAAAACTAACAGCATTGACAGATCAAACTGTCAGGAGAGTACTATCAAACTCCGCTTATGATTAAAGTCGGTGTTAGCGAACTCTCCTAGTTAATTTCGCATCAACCGAACGCTTTTACGTCACTGTAAGTTCGCAACTGCTGCCTGGTTATGCCAATGAGATATTAAATTACAATTTCACATGCATTACATTTCACTAGACTTTTGTAACTCACCTTTGTTTTCTTGTGCAAGAGGATCATCACTTTTCTCCCATGAAAGGAAACTATCATGCGAAATAACACTATCTTCGTATAACGTATTGAAGATTTTGAGTAACAGCCCTGAAAAAATAGCATACCAATAAGTATTGACTTGCTTTGCAACGCGTCTTTAATTCCTAATTACCTGAAGGATGATTTAATTGGTTAACTATCGCTTGAATCGCATACAAGCATTGCAACTCGAACTGTGAATTACTGTCGATATACCTATGCAAGACGCTGTAGTAACCACGGAAAGTGGGTTCATGTAACTTATCGTTGACTATCGAGTTCTTGATGTACGCAGTGGCCAGCGCACGGATGAATTCGTTTTCTTTTTCCTTCTCACCAACGTTCGCCTGTAAAATAATTATATTTGTAAGCATCAATTCAATTAAAACGTAAATCTCAAGTAATTAATTGTTGTGATTGAAAAATTGTCAATCAGTATTGATATTGAATGCAACATAAAGTTGCAACAACATAGGAAACTGATTCGGTATACTCTTGCAATATAAAACGCCACAATCTACATCAAAAATTAGAATGTGGAGCTGGAATTGCTTTTGTAATAAACAATATCATAAGTGACTTACAGTTATCCATTTGTATACTTCATCGGTCGAAGCCTTCGATTTAACGAATTGATTTAATTTATCATTAATTTCCTTATAAGATAAATTGCTTTGACTCGCCGAGGATTACCGCCACCTCCGGTCAGAAACTCAAAGCCCTGCAAAAGGTAATATTAAAATTAGTTTTATATAATATTAAACTTTAAAATAAATAAATGTTAGAAAAGTACTATCAAACTCCGCTTATAATGAGAAGACGGTGTTAGCGAACTTTCCTCGTTACTTTCGCATCAACCGAACGCGTTTGCGCCACTATAAGTGCACAACTGCTGCCTGGTTATGCACAAAAAGTACTTAATTACAGTGTCCAATACTTACATTCTTAGTAATAAATTCATTGACCATCGATGGATCCATCCAATCGTTTAACGTTAATCCGGACGAATTCCATATGCTTGCCAGCTGAGCAGGTCCTTGCTCCTTAATAGCTAACGTAAAGATCGCCGCGAGTAGTCGATGCGCGTGACCCTGCAGGCATTCAGCGCACTTGTGGAGGCTTGTTAGAGGTAGCACTTGTGTTATAATAGGATTTACTAGAAAAGAAAACAATTAATGTATACTTAATTCCATCACAGAGATTGACAATAATAAAATATGTAATAAATTGTCGGGAAGAGCACAATCAAACTCCGCTATGTTTAAAAACGAAGTTAGTTAAACATCACCGTTAATATTGCAAAACCGAATCACGTTGAGACACTGAAGTTCGCAACAGTTGACCAGGTGATGCCAATAGGTTTAAAAATTAATTACAATATAACTTACTTGTTACTTGGGCATAGTACATCCAGATTTGTGGAATATCTACAATAAGGTCTTCGGCGCTTGAAAAGATTTCCTTCAAACCGGCGCAATAGCTTTCTAGAGATATGGTTTGACACTTCAGGAGATGACTGCACAACACTCCCACCTTTTCTCGGGCTGTCTGCGATCGCTCCAAAATACCAGTAATGCTGGAAAGTAAATGCATGTATTAGCTTTGTTTACAGCTTAAATCGAAAGAGTTCTTTGCAAAACATGTGTAGAATGGTTGACTATCAAACCCCATTCACCGAGTAAACTCTAATGGTGTTAGCGAAACCATCACAATAATTTCGCACAGAAGAAACACCCAGAATTTATATTGATCAAAAACAGGCGGTGATTCTGTGCGTAGTAAAAACATAATAAAATATTTGATACTTACATTATGCTTACAAATTGTGCGTGAAGAGTGGGGTTAATGGATAGCCGAACTTCGGTGTCGGTGTCTTCGAGGTTGGCACAATCGCTGATGTACTCATCTACAATGTTCTTGATCCGCCGCTCAAGCTTCTCGGGCGTGAGGTCTTCGTACACCTGTGGTGCTGGCACTTTTGTGGCGGTTGCTGTGTAGGTGTCGGCGTGTTTCGCTGTGAGCTTTCACGTTCGCGCTGCTCACCCTCTCACGCTCAGGCGCACGATGCTGTGATCCAGACCGCGAGTTGCGTCCCTCAAATTTACTATAACCACGCTCCATGCTGTTGCCCTTAGAACTATACGCATCCTTATGACTGCTGCGGTAACCGCCTCGGTTATCCATATTATCATTGGCGGCATCCAGAAGTGCAAACTTGTTGCTATTTGACTGCGGCGCAGCAGTCTTGATATTGGAGCCGCGACTCCAGTTGCTGAATGAGTTACGTGAGCCAAGCGGCTCGTCCACATTCGGCTGCTGGATCTTCAACTTATCTGACTGCACCGTGAATGTGGTGTTTTACTGCCACGCGATGAAGGCGCCGACAGCCAGCCATCCTCGCTCTGGCCACCACGACGTTTGCCAGAGTTGCTGGAATTGCGATCTTCTTTTCGCGGAGTCATAGGACCTGAGTTCATCGCAGCAATATTCATGTGCTCGTTATCTGCCTCTTTCTGAATCTGTTCAATTGTCTTCGGGTTAAGGTCGGTACGACGTGGCACCCAGCCTCCGGATCGAAGATCAATCACATCCTGCAGCATGAAGCGTACTCGACTGCTTACTTTGCCGTTCTTGCGGTCTACCATGCCACGCATCTGGTCAAAGATTTTCGATAGGTCAACGCTTTTCGCCTCTAGGTCTTTGCCGATGGTCGACAGCAGTTTACACAAGCACTCAAGTCGTTCTTCATCCTCGTTTTCAATCAAGTTGTACAGACATCTAACCATAATGTTCTGTGTGAGCATTTGTTGCTTGAATAGTTCACCTGCAACGATGCCAACATATTATTTTACCATTCAATTAACTTTTAGAAAATAAACAAATTGCGTGCAGCAAGATAATCAGTGATAAAGTTGTCCTCAACGAATGTCGGTCCACTACTTTCATATTAACCATCATATTAAACAACGTTTTAGAAGATCTAAGAGATAGTAAAGCAAGAAATACTTGCCTATAAACCGGATGTTTCCGACCGACTTCATTCGTATCCTGCGGTCGTTCTCCTCAAGAGCCATCATCATCTCCTTCTTCTTCTCAGGATCAGGGCACGCCGAAATTTCAACCAGGCGCACGTTGCGATTGCTCTCTTCGCTAGAGTTCTTTTCGAACTCCATTTGACAGCGCGTGACGAGCAGTTTACGGAAGTTAACGAACTCCTTGCTCTCGGCGGATACCGGCACTTGCATGAGAGCCAGCTCTCTGCACATGAGCGCATACGCAACCGAGAAGTTGGGCTCGTTAACGGCCTTCTCAAACACTAAATCTATAACGCCTTGCAGCCTCTCAGTCGTGTCGATCGGCAGCGTTTTGATTTGATTCAGCAGCGTGCTGAACTTTTGCGGCGTCAATTTGTTTAGGACACCACGTACCTTCTTATATAAATCCTGGCGAAGAAACAAAGATAAATCATTCATACTTCATCGATTAAAACAGCAGAAGTTGTAAAAAATGCATGTAAACTTACGTCAGTCTTACGGTCGTCATCAGTCTTGACAACGTTCGGGTTCTGGCGGGCGGGTTTCCAGGCGTTCTCAGATTCGTGTAATTTGACGTCCTCTTTGAACGAAATGGAGACGCGAATCATGCTGCCGGACTTGCCACCCTTGGAGTTGCCGCTAGGTTTGCCTTGTTGACTATTGCGTTTTGGAGGCTGTAAACAAATGCAATTATAATTTGGATCAATCGTTATTGTGATACAAACGCAATCATAACTTTTGTTTAAATAATCAGATTAAATAAATCAACACAACTTTTCAGTTCACTACTTTCATCGTTTTATATTTTTTGGAATATCATCATCGAATTATTGTTTAAATTCAGAAGTATTTTAAGCAAGATATACTTACAATTCTAGTGGATTGCGATTTGCCTAAGAAATTAGCATTGCCAAAGCTAGGAGCAAAATCGGTACGTCCCATGGCCGAACCCCTGCCCATGTCACCTCCCATTCTCTGTAGAATGAAACAGAATAAAGTAAATACATGTTACATGGTCTTGTCTTAGTTAACTTACAGATCTATCATCACCAGCCGCAACTTCGTTGAGAATATTATCAGGTTTCGTTTTACTCTTCGGGTAAGTGCGTAGAGCCAACAAGAAATCGCGGCCGTACGACTTCTTTCCCTCTGGATTATTCGGCGACCATTGATCTACAAACAAAACACAAATTAGGCTTAATTGACAGTAAAATTCTACAAACCCACAAAGGCGTGTAAATTACATGCAAGGACACCGACAATTAATACTCGGTATTTATTCGGCGTAATTAAAAAATACAAAATTTGAAGTCAACTAATGACTACCATAAAAGTAATGTGTATAAATGCGTGTCAACATACCATCCTCATATTGCAGCGGTTTAATTTCCGATTGATCGTTACTAATGGCAGTCTTGGCGTTAACCTCGTTCTTTGCCTGCACGAGCTTGTCGTTGGATAATGCCGCCTTATCGGTTTCGTCACAATTTTCCACCACCGGCGGCGGCGTGAACGGCTTGGGTAGCTCGCGTACAATGGCAGTTACATCAAACGACGGCTTCGACTCTGGCTTCACAATCGGCAGCGCCTCGCTGGTTTCAATCTTCTTCGCCGGCACCACTGGCGTCTCGTTGATAACGGGCGTCACCACTTCAGGTTGTGGTGGTTGTTGCTGCTGCTGCTGCGGCTCTGTCTGAGCCGGTTGCGCCGGTGCATCGTTTGCATTATGCGTGGTTTCGGCATTAATGCTGAACGCATCCATGTCAGTGCCTTCCTTACTAGCACCCTTCATGTTGAGTTCCTTCATCTTGTTGGCCTTGTTAGACTTAGCCTGTTGAGGTTGTTGGTTGGCAACCGGCATCGGCGCTGGTGGTTTGTTATTCTGGCCCACGGCCTGTTGGCCGCCAGCTTGCTTGGGTTGGTCTTTGCCACGTTGTGCTTGCTTAGATTTCCCTGTAAAACAAGAAAAGTATAAGTTCTAATGTCACCATACACATCGAAAAGCAATAATTACACTAAAATACTGTACTAGTGACAACTATGATCCAAACTCAATGAGAAAGATTGAACAATTGTTATCGCCACTAAATTTGCTTTCGCATCAACCGCCCGCTGTTCTTCCCATCAAGGGGGTAGAACAGCTGTAAAGGTTATGCAGCGACTGTCGTCACTCGGACAAAGTTAACAATTTGTAACCGAGTGGCAAGCGAACGCAAATCGCAAGGACATGCGGCATGGAGTGGAAGTTATCAAGCGCTTATACGGCGAGACGCAAAACGGGTCACACGATGTCACGCGTTTTATCGAATCTGGATAGAATTTTGCAATTACGCCAAAATGAATTCATCAAGCACACACGCTCTATCGACACAAATTGCTACATGCTCATGTTCGAGTCAACTCCAAAACGATGAATGAACACATGCTTTTAAAAACTAAACTCGCCATGGTAACAAGACGCAGAATAACTACATTTACGAAACCGTCGCAAACAGTTAAAGAATAAATAAAGGTAACTACTACTGCTGGCGTATTGATAACGGGCAATTATGTTTGAAAATAAAATTTTATTAGCAAAGCGAAATAAAAACCGGCGCTGAATGTGCACATTTTAGGAATCGCAAATGTAGCAAGCGAACTTTTCACGCATGCGAACCGCGGGTCGGAATTGAAAACAAAAGCATCACACACAGTCCAAGCAACGAAAATAAATCGAATTTGTTTTGTTTCTTTCGCTTCGTTTTCAAATTCGTTCACATTCGTATTTCGCGACTACCAAAGTGAGATGGGATGTTAAAATAGTCCTATCATTTGTAGAATACTCAAAACTTTGGTGTGTAAAACTTAAATCCGCCTCAAAACACACCGAACAAGTAAATTAACTACGTATTCTTCAGTCTAAATATAGAATTTACACGTGTAATTAAATTTGAACTGCTTTTGCGGGTAATTCTTTAGTGTTGCACTCATAGTATGCCTTCAAAAGTCATAAAAGATGCGCTTTCTTGGCAAGTCAGCAAGAATGTAGACGCTCGTTCGCCGCGACGAGCAACGCGATTGCCGGGCTATATACCTACGGTCGACCAGCGACATTTTTGATGCGGCGCGTTCAGCGCACCTAATCGCCGACAGGCGTTTGTAAAATAAATAAAAAAATCTGCCAGCGAATTAAGTAGGTTGAAACGCCGGCTCGCAAAAAAAAGTCGACAGACCTGCCCAAACGCCGCGCCGGCGATGACGTGTCACAGCACTTTATTCGAAAGACTTAAGACCGAATGTGCCTCCACTCATTCGCCCGTGAAGTAATTTTCGGCGAGCCCGTGCATTCATGCATTCATCGCTAATTAGACGTAATATTAACATAAAGTATAAAAGTTCAACGCGATACATACTGAATTGAATATGGAATGTTTTATTATAATGCTATATCAAGGACGTCGCAACTTTAAACAAACTCATGCTGAACATTCTCAATCAGAATTTTAATTAGAATGTTTGCGAGTTGTCCCACTAAAAGTTAGATAGTTTACATGATTGTATCGAGCGCGGAGAGTTGTTGGTGCAGAGGAATTTGAACACGTTTGCATTTTGACGCATTTCGACACTGGTTGAATGAAAGTTTAAATTTAAAATGCAAAGGTCGTCGAGTATCGCGACGAGTTGTGTTACGACAGACGGCAGCGCGCTTTCTTGACCTAACCAACGTTCAACGTCAATCAATAATGTTTTTTCCAGGCTGCGCTAGCGAACAATCCGAACAATATTTTTCTCATGAATAATTTGGTTCGTTCGCAGAATTAGAATATAATCTAAATCGCATTCCAAAAGCGCTGATTATGACTTGACAACTGGCGCTGGAACTTTTAAAACATTTTTGATATTAGGAATTTGCAAAATTTAATATTTCGGGGAAACCCACTTGAAATGAGATTATCTGACAATTGACATATGGCTACTAGTTCTCTACACGTGCTAAAAATTGTACAATAAATCCAGTATCGGCATGTTGCAGGATTTCGATTTCGCAACAAGGTGAACCACACACGCACACGGTCGCACGCTTGTGCGCTTATTGGGACTTTCTAAAAGTGGACCCACGAATGCTGCGCTTGCATACATTACGCTCTGCTAATAATATGTGCGAACGCGAATCGATATGAACGAGACAAACCAGCCAGAGCACAAAAATCGCCAGCGACTGAAATTATTACATAATCTATTGGGCGTATTGTGCGCGGCTGCCCGTACACATTCTGAACGGGTTACTCATGATGTGCTGTGGTTCGCTTGCATTGCTGCCACGCTTATTACGCATGCGGCTGCTGCAACTGCCGTTTAAGACCGTGCTAAGAAGTAAATGACTAAACATATTGCATAGAACTTGACTGGCACATTCGTTCTGGTCGTGGAATTTGCGTATAAGCTAATTAAAATTATTATTACCCCTATCTAATTGCGGCATGTCCGACCAGCAAACACACACACTCTCTGGGACGTATTCGATGTCGATGTGGGATCACACGCTATTCTTAGACGTGACGAAGAAACGTAAATCGCACACGCGGGGCGCGGAGGAGGCAACGGGCGCGCACACACACACGCCGCGCGCTCTCTCACGGGGCCTTCTTATGCACCGCGCAGTGCACCGCGACCAAATACGGCCGAAATAAAACCTCAAAAACGTCTCTATTTCTATTTGGCGTAACACTCGCACACGAATTTAGATTCGCGTCGTCGACTAGATCATACACTAACTCTTTAAAAATAATGCCAGACTACAAATGGCAATGCCGGCACAACAAGAGAGATCAGTCTCTTCGGTTTCTCGCGAGTAAAATTTTGAAATTCTTTTGAGTATTTAAAACTTGCCGACGCACCAATTGTATTAAGTACTAAGTTACACTAAAAAATGATCACTGCCAGAATCTATTTGGTTGTTTAAAACTTGTCGGCGCTTAGTTGCTGAGTATTTGTTCGCCACTGCGGGGAAAACTAGGCGCGCAACGCGAAAATGTGCCGCGAGAGTCGACGACCACGTTGCGTGCGACCCATGTGGTCGCCGCGAGTAGGACTGTGCCCCGTCGACAGCCATGTTGGACGAGCGCGGGTCGTTCAGTTCCGGCGCGCCGATCGACAACAGCGCCACCACGTAAGAGTACGGCCAACATACAAACTACAACATATCCAAACGTGCTCGGGACCAAAAAATCGGACCAAGCGGCAAATTTAAATCATAGTCTACCGGTCCAAGTAGTTCATGACGTCACGATTGGCGAGAGATAGTTGTTCAGCGAGCCGAGCGGCGTATTATGAAAACCTCGACCTAGCAACAACAGACCGGCGTGGCAGGGAGACAATTTGCATTGCAAAAGAGTGTGTTGTGCGTCGTGTCGCGCGAGTAGCACTTGCCTCATGTTCGAACACGTCGAGAGTATTGACAGAATGACATTACTACTTCCACGCCATTTCTATTGGTACTTTTAAAATGACAGTTGGTAATAGTGACTTCCGGCAAAATACAGCATGCATGTACAACTACTACTAACTACACTAACCAAAACTATGAGAGCAAACTTCGCGAGGAAGGATGAAGCATGCGTGATGTGAAATGTAATGTGTGTATTGTGTGTATGAGATTTAAAGTGTATGAGAAGTACTAGTTTTGTTGTACAGAAGTTTATTTGACTACTAAAGTCACACAAGAGACCATTGCTGCACAAACCAAGGACCAGGCGAGTGCGACTCTAACAGCCGTCAGACATTCTGCGGGTTACACTGCGTGCACGTGTCATATGTCGGGTGTCATGTGGTCATGTAGTCGTAAGCAAAGCAAGCAAGTGAAATAGCAGCAGCATTAAAGTGAATGCAATAAACTCACCGCTATTATCCTGATTAACAGCCGGCTGCTGTGCGCCGGCAATCTCGACAGGCGCGACGCTGCATTCTTTTTAGTCTGCTGCGGCTGCTGATGCTTTTGTCATCGCGCACAGCTGGCTGATGCTGCTGCTGCTGCTGCACTGGCGGCTGCTCCTTGGCAGAGACAGCCTTCGCGGAGGAGGGTGGCTCGGCAGGCGCCAGCGCCAGCGCCACCGGCGACTGCTCCTTGGGCTTGTCCTCCTTCGGTTTAACATCCGAAGGAGGCGCGGAAACCTCCTTAATGGAGGGCTGGGATGGCTCTTTGGGTGTATCCTTGTGCGGTGCACTCTCCTTCTGACTGGGCGCGGGAGTGTCGCGCTGCTTACGCCCCTTCGCCGGACTCTCGCGATCCTTCGGCTTACCCGGTATCGTTACCTCGGCCGAGTTCGAGATTGCCGACACGACGGGAGTCTCTTTGGCAGTATTTGATAGGTTATTGGCCGGAACAAAATCATTTGTTGGCACCTAAAGCACACCAATAAAGAATATAAATAATCAATGTCCTAAATAACAAATTCTATAATCCCGCTTACCTGTAATTTACTAGATTTAGCTATATCGTTTCTATTATGTACATTTTGTGGAATCTGGTGGAATGGGGCGGGTTGCTGTTGCGGTGGCGGAATCTGTGCCCGCTGAGTGAGAACGGCGGGTCCATCCCGTGGTGCGGGTCATGCACGACTTCCTCTTCAGCCGCCGCCGAGTCTTTATTGATCGCCTGCGCCACCTGCTTGGCAAACGTGGCCTGCACCTCCTTGACGGAGTTGTGCGGAGCAGGCTGGGGCGTCTGACGCGCTGAAGACTCTCCCGACGTCGGATTTTGCAGTTCCTCGTTGTCGATGGGCATCATAGTCGCGGGATCAACAATTGGGATAGCATTGCTGCGCTTTTCGGTTGCTTCTTTTGCATAGGCGCAGTCATCGCGGTAGTCGCCATCGCCTGTGGCGGTTGTGGGGTGTGCGGCATGCCCTGCGCGACTGGCTGCACCGACGCCTGCGGCTGACGCTGCATCGTCTGATTATAATAATACGGCGGCGGAGCGTACTGCTGTGTGAACATCGCCGGCGCACGATAGTTCTGCAAGTATGGTTGGACAAACGTCGTAGGTCCATGTCCTCCGTACGGGGCGGGGTAAGATGGCATCGGCATATTCAGCACCTGATACTGAGGCACCTGTATCGACGGATGACTCGCATATAAAGCCGGCTGATTCTACAAAGGAGAACGTCAAAATTATAATACAATTCATGGTATTAAATATTGCTGGTGTGGGATGACACTTACAGGTCTCTGATTAATAAGCCGTTGCGGCTGATTGGACTGTGGCGGACGCTGGAAGTAGTTCTGACCGCGCTGCGGATACAGATTCATCGTCTGCTGCTGCGGCACGTGCTGCTGGACCTTGAGATCGGCGTTCGGCGGCGTCGAGGCCTGCGTCGGCGGACCGGTAGGCGCCATGCCTCTCAGCGGCGGTCCTTGATTGGTGATCTGATTAGGCGGCTGTTGCTGCTGTTGGACGTAAGACCCACCATGAAATTCAGCCCTGAAACGACAACAATGGATGAGAATCAAATTGCACCAAGAAAATGTCTACATTTGTCTTAATTATACAGAAAATTTTATCCCCAAGTTCTTTCATGGCGTGTAATAGTCAAATAACGATATTTCAATTAAGGAATCAATACTAAAATGCAATCGATGAAGTTGACCCCCAAAATACATCCTGCTCTTTTCAGTCGCCGACAAGAGGTCAATACAAATACCTATCTCTAATTTCATGGAAATTACAGTTATGAGCATTATTTTTCCTCCTTTTCGAGTTGCTAACTTCTAATCCTCAAAGTCTTTCTACCAGAAAATATTTTAGCTGGCGGAGTCTTCGTAGAAATGACTAATTATGTTTTTGTGTGGCATTACCGCAAACATAATGGCAATTAAAAATTTAATTAATTATGAAAACTTTCACATTACTGTATCGTGTGTACGATAATAATAAGCAACATGCGCATTAAATTATGTACAAGGATGTGGGGAAAATGTATGTAAAGCGCGGCGCGAGCACTCGTACTCGTATTTCCGCGAAAAAGTGGATCAAATGAAAGTTGAGCGCGTTTAATTCGGCTCGACTCCGCGAAGAATCTTCCTCAAGCGTGCTCAGCCACGCAAGCACATGTAACGTCCCGAAATCGTAAAGTTTAAACCAGCACAAAAACATTTTACAAACGGCAAAAACAATAAATCTCAAAACATTTCCCTATGCCACTCTGCCTGCGTCATTTGTTACAATTGATGCATTGATACACATCAGCATCATAATTAATTTGCCAGAAAGGAGAGGCGCATGGACCGCGCGTAATCGACGTGTACACTCCTCTCTTCGATGCACGCGGGGCGCTCAGCGAAAATCAATAGAACGTGCACTTGTGCGATGACGGCGGTGTGCGCGATTGCAGGAGCGGCTGCACCGCCGGCCCCGGCGCGCACTCCGGCCACGCCACGCCGCACGGCTCCAAACTGGGTCACGAAAATGGGTCGCGCCGGTTTCGCGGTGTAACCTTAACCAGAGAACCCAGTTGCAACGCGCTAACTGGCACACACAACAGAATAAAACAACCCACCATCACACGCCTCAGAAAACCGATGCAGATGCACAAGGCGGCGGATCAATGACGACCGAGTCGTCGAACCGACAAAAGAAGCGGAGGACGCGAGAGACACCCAAACACCCAAGCGAATCTTACGCATTGCGAACAACTTGCATTTTTCGTGGGAGCGCACAGCGTGCCGACGTAATTGCTATTTTCCAATCCAGCGGTGGGCACACGCACTTCCGTAAGCGGAACGCATTCTCTCCGCGAACACTATGGGACGATAAAACGTGAGCCGCGCGCGACTTTGCTCACTATGCGACTTTTTTCATTCTTACACTGGGCATGGGCGCGCAGCGCAAACGGCGGCATCAATTACCGCGGTTTCTCTCGGCTGGTGGGTGTTACATCATACGCCACAGCATTTTTACTCGGATGCAACCGAACACAGTAGATCAAAATGTCGCGCGAGGGTGGGAGATGCATGCAAGAACATTCGAAACATTTGAACATTATACACATTACGGCATTACACAACCAGCAACGCCGCCGTGCAGCGCGCAAAGAGAAAAATGAAGCGAGCGGATGATGGTGTGTACGCGCGCGCGCGCGCATGTGAATCTGTGTATGTGCAGCTACAAGGCCCCGTTATTCACATTCACACAGAGACCTAGGCGCGCATTCAATCACACCCGACTGCCAGCCAGTCGGCTAGCCAAGTAACGAGCCACAGAACGGCAAATATGTGCACAACCATTCGGTTTTATGGAACATGACACACACACATACAGCCACGAACACGGTGCAATTACATTACGCGCGTCTACGTTTCTCTATTGCGGATTCGCGCGGTGTGCAGAAAACACCATCGGCCGACTTTGCGCTCGAATCGCGGATTGCAATTGCAAGGTTGTTACGGCAAATATTTGCAACGCTTTTCAAGGACGTTTGACGAGCACGCTCGCGCGCCGTTAATTTCAACATTTCCACCTAACGCGCACACCGCGTTGTATCGTCGTCGTCGACGTTGTCACGGGTTAATGACAACGTGGAAAACGAGAGACGTCCTCAAACTGAAATATTCACGCATACCGGAAATCATTACAACCAGGTGTTGCAAACAGCATTAATTTCGCATTTAAGAAGCAATTTTTTGGTAATAGAAATGATTGTGATGATTTTGTTTAATCGCGAAATAAAGAGTAAAGTAAGATGTGTTTACGTCCTCCGAGCATAGGTTTTGACACTACACGAGTGACTAAGTAAAATTCGGGGAATAACCCAGACTCCCAGACGCGGTGCGCCATGCCGCCGCATTGCCTTAATTATTCGTCCCACCGACCGGCTCTCCTCGTCGCCGGATCGGACCACACCGGGCAAAACAGCAACAATAACGATTCTACAAGTTGCCCGCATACCATGTGTCATCACATGACATAGCAATTCGCAAAACCTACAAAAATATTCAAATTTCATCGGCATTGTCCTCGGTGAAATTGAATGTCTCAAAGAAAACCGCTTCCCAAACAGCTGTGCTAGCTTACGCTTGCACCTTTCGTTGCAATTCGCAAACAATTTCGCCTAAATGCATTGTATATTCTGCAAACTTGTTTTCTTTTAATTCAGCCAAAACTTTTCACGGCTGTCAAGAGCAAACTTTGGCCCTGGACGAGCGACGGCGCAGGCCAACTTTGCAGGCAATAAACAAGCCGTGCAGCACAATGCACAAATGCTCACAAAGGAGATCCCCATTTATCCGAAATTCCAAGAATCTACCTAAGTCGGCCGAATCCTACCTAAATGCGCACCGCGTGCACCGAGGATGCACTCGGTATGCAGCGCTGGATTTACATTACACACGTGTGCGCGCAAAGTATGCGAACAATGGCGAATTCCAAATATTTCACTTTGCGCACACAAAAATAATTCGATTTACAGACGGATCGGTTTCTACATTGCTAAATTTGTCAGGTGGCCATGACTGAAATGTCATTGCAAATGCTGAAATCTAAGTAAAATTGAGAAGAACTTACGCTGCGGTGGTAACATCCGATAGTGTGGCGGAGGTAATAAACAAATCTCCGGCTTGACGGGGCGTTCACATATCTCGACACCATTTTGTCGTTTTGTTTTCAGCACCGATGCGGTGCAAACGCGAGCAAGGCAAACAAAAGCGGCGAAACACGCGCTCTCGCGAGTTGAAAACCGCTGACGGACGGTTGGCCCGAAAAACAAACCAACTGTTATCAAACGCGCATCATTGTGCCCGCCCGCTGAAGAAACGCGCGACTAGTTCTTGCATTTTTCGTGGCTGCTGCTGCCGCCGCCAGAGATGCAACTTCGCAACAACTTTGAGTGCGCGATGATGATGAACACGACGAACGACGATCGCCCGACAACTCGGTTAGCTCCTCGCGCATTTTGCCGCGGCACACATGCTACACTCAACCACTCAAAACTCAATGACGATCCTCGCGCTCAGCCCGCACGCGGTGGCGTATTGATTCGCCGATGACGATGACCGTCCGTCCGTTCGCGTGTCAGAGTCTGCACACACGGGAAATCGCGACTGGAATGTGTTCTCAGAGCACGTCTCGACGCGGCGCGAGTGCCCCTCCGATAAAAATCGATAAGGGCGTTTTAGAAATCACTGTGCAGCGCGCACGGAGCGTGTGCTGCTGCTGCTGCTGCTGCTGCACGGAACGCACGAGACCAAAACACACTGCGAGCGCACTCTCTCACTAACACCACCGCATCAACGCGGGCGCGCGCACCAAAGAAAGAAGCTGACGTGCGTGCGTCCGTCGTTCTAACCACCACTGTCGACCGAAAATTTCGCTTCTCCCTCGAGGGTTTCGCGGATTGAAGTTTTGCGCGCGCGTCTGTGTTGCGACTATCGCACGGATTCACTATCGCGATCGGTTCACGAATTGTTAGAGTACGCTTGTCCCGTGACTCTCGGACTCAACGATCGAAGTGATGCGTGACGGCAATTCTTCGGTTAAACATTTGTCACCGTTGTTCGCACCGACAACGCCATTGTATCGACTGGCAGCGGCCGCGATGCTCGGACGCTGACGAAAACTGCCGACAGGTTGCATGACGCATGCGCGCTCACTTGGCGGCGCGGCGCAACGTTGCCGCGTCGACGTCGAGACGTGCACGCCAACCGGAAGTGGGCGCAAGGGCACACACACCGCGCGCATCGCAACCAACCAACCAACCGCCGGGCACCCAGCCGCGGCTCGCACGCGAATACGAAATTACGAGCTGCGTAAACTTGAATTGAGCCGCACGGACGGACGATCCGTCCGCGAGGAGTCGCAATCGAACACGTACGCTAATGGGCGCAAACATGTCTGGCATGACTGGCTAACATTGTGCAATCATTGAAATGGGTTGACAACACAGAGGAATGCGACTTTTCCACCGAGTTTTTAAACTCGCGTGGCGCTCACCGTCTAGGCCGCATTATGTAATATGTTCAAGGGCTTTTCCCATAGATGACAACGCAGAAAAACACACAAAAGCGCTTGTTATGCGAGCGAACTTCGAAACTCTCGCATGCCGCTCCAAATTTCGGCCCGCAGAGGCACGGCACTGCCACGTGACTCTTGCCGCTTCTTCACTGCGCACGGCGCGCTTCCACCACGGAATTGAGGTTAGCCGTGCCACGGACGCCAGGCGGCCCCGCAGGCTCTTCCTGCCTGCGCGCACACGCTGCATGCTGCACATTACCTGCGATTTCAATCTCTTCTTCGGCCGTGGCCGGAAGTCCGTCGCAGGGAATCACCACCGCTCCAGCAGCACCATATGGGATGCGCACGGCCGGCGCGCTCGCTCTGGTTCGCACTTTCCACACATTCCGCACTCGGGGGGGGCCGGAGAACTGCGTGTGTGCGTGTATTAAATTTTTTCGTCAAACAACTATTGCTTTTGCAAAGAGTCTCCGCGCGCGCGAGACACGCGACCAGCGCCGAAGACAGGTGAACGTGTACTGGATTGGCCAATGAAAGTTATACATGACACAATCGCACGGTGGAGCGAGCGTGCGGAGCAGCGGTGGCAGCGCACCGTTCGTTAGTCAATCGGCTCAGCAGTGCCGGAACTACCAAACAATCGAAAATTATCGCCTCGAAACTAAAAACTCTACGTTGACATTTGACATTCAGCATTCCTTAATCTTCAGCTAACAATAAACATTTCTCCAAAACAAATCTTCAATTTGGTTGTATCTGAATGAAAATAAAGCAGTGAAATGTTTTCATGCAGAAATAATTTCTTTTCCACTAAAGTTAAATTTATAATTTTGGTTCCGCCTCTGTCTCTGTACGAACAGTCTCTACACGTATCACCGCTATGATAATGTGGGTACGAGCGAGAGAACACCACGGTGGCAAACTGTGTTTGCATTCCGATCATCGGCGGATCGTCGCATCGTTGCGTGCGTGAGTTCGCCTCGCGTATCGCACCATGCCGAATTTTTATCAGCCGGCGTGCGATAAGCGGTGTGCACGTAACGTTCGGACGCAGATTCGAATGTCATCTTGCGCGGGCGCACTACGACCCGACGACGAGCGACGACGACGTCTCGAAGAAAAACGCACGCGGCGCGCCGCTGTGCCGTGGGATTCGCTAAATTTAGGTCAATTGTAAAATATCTAGGAGAGCACAGCGACTCGACAACACTCTCACGTCTCACCGGCAGTAGTATAATTGCTGCACGTATGTGCTTTAGCGAATGCCGTGTAAAGATGAATTGTTAGGTTAGATTTCAACTCGCAGCATTGGGCAAACGAAGAAAAAGGGGCGTAACTGTAGCATGCCGAGCACGACGCAAACTGTCGACTGACTCGCAGGATTTGAATTCGATGTGTGAATGAGTGAATGAATGTAAAAGCGTTGTTTACGCTGACTTACCGCTCTCGGTCACCCAGCGTGTTGGGAACGCATGAGCTCCTTGGTGCCGTGGTTGTGAATCGCGTGAGTCAGCTGCAGGAAAAGGATACGTTTGTTGCTGTTGCTGCGGGAAGCGCGTTTGGGCCCCGACGGGTGGCGCCTGCTTCTGGTTGCCGCTCATCCTGCCGGTGCGGCGCTGAGGGGGCTCGGCTCCTGCGTTTCCTCGTCCTCACTCACTCAGTGCAGCGACCGCCCCGAGTCAGTCCCGCGGATGGAATACATATGTTCAATGAAAACACATCACACTCGTCACACAGAACGGTCGGTTCGCCCGTGTCATAATACGCGATCGGGCGCAGCAACGTTCGCGGAAATGTGTGAAGACCGCGCAACTGGCGCACGCGGACGCCGATTTCGACTGCGCGATATTGAAGGGACGATGCGACAAGTCACTTCTTACGCGCTGCAGCGCCGAATGTGTTGAAAAAATAACTCCTCTCGTGTGTTTGCACCAGCAACCACTTTGAACTCAAAGGTTAAGATTAAGTTCCCAAGATGGCCGATTTGGTTAACCCAAAACATGTTTCGTGTCGGTCGCCGCCACACTGCGCGATCGAACGCGGCACTTTCGGCGCTACAGCGGCTGCAGCGTATGCTCTCGCGCCACTATAATTAGCACAATGTCAATCAGTAATCGCTTAAATTAAAATTAATAATTTATTAAAAATGACACGCGGCTTTCACGTTGCTACTTGTGCACGACTGTCGGTGGATCACCGAACTAGCGTTTACTGTTCGCGGCGTTGCCTTGTTGCTCTTATGTTCGTGCGTTTCCGTCACAATGATCACGTATACAACCCGAACGTTATATTTGATTCAAAATGTACTTTAAATTTATTTATGATCAGAAATATAATTATAACAAACATTATTCTATTGTATTATTTTTTTTAATATTATATTCATACCTTGATAATATAAATTCCATAGATTTTACTCAATTATTTTTAAAAATGATTAAAATTTTGTTTTATGTGATCTGCCTTTGCAAATCAAATAAATACTGTGCAAAAGTAGGGTTACCCGTCAACTTCCATTCAACCATCAAAAAGCATCTAAGAAGTTTCGGTTATTTTAAATTCAAAATCTAATTTATAGGTAAAGATAGTAATTAGGGCATATATTTTATAACAATTTATGTATATATTTAAAGTTTAACAATGGAACCAATGAACTTGGGAAGCCCTCCATCGAGTCCAGCATCGCCAAACCCGAACTTTTTACCCGCGTATTTGATGGGCGAATCGCAGCAAATCACATCACCCAGTAATCCAGCAATTTCTCCCGGTCGCAATAAAACACCGCTCATGATGAAGACCGGCACGCAACAGCAATACTCCAACAACATCCGCCAAAAACTCTTCAATCAATCCACTCTTTCCGACTTCAACTCACCAATTACCAGCCCATTTGGCAGCCCAGCTGTAGAAAAGCAGGACCACCTAAAACAGGTCTCTTTGATGTAGCTGAGAAAGCAAACACACCGGTACTCAGCAGTACAATGCGTCATCCTGCACCAAATGAACAAATCATGTTTGGCATGAATGATAGCACAATGTTTGACACAATTGATGGTAGCTTCAGACAAAGTGCTGGAGCACCAGCTAATTTTAATGATAGTTTCAACAACTATCTTAATTACAGTCAGATGGATGCAAGAAGTGTGTCTATGAACATGGGAAGGCAAATCAATCAAATCAATACATTATGGGTGACTGTCTTTGGTTTTGTACCAAGCAGTACCAGCTTGATAATTGCTCAAATGTCTAATTGTGGCACAATTCAAGAGAAAAATATCCCACACAAGGGAATTGGATACACCTAAAGTATTGCTCTGCACAAGAAGTAGCAAAGGCGCTGTTGCTCAATGGAAAACTGATTTCAAACAGTATCATGATTGGTGTTGTGCCATATTATAACAAGTGTGAAATGGATAAGGAAAACAATATGTCCGGCGCACAGTATTCGTCACCAATAATTGCAAGATCACAAGCAAGATCATTGCGCACATCGAACGTGCCGCAATTGAATTCAAACACGGTTGTGTCACCACAAAACGTCCCTCAAAAGTCCACCGGACTGGTGACGAAGGCAATGGAGTACGTTTTGGATGGTGAATCTCTAATAATCGTGTCGTTTCCGTCGAATTAATTGCTCACGTCTTTCATTTTTATCTAATTTATACAATTGCATACCTTCTGTTTACTTTACTTCGATTTATCATGTTTGTCTTACTGATTTCATGAATTGTGTTAGAACATAACTACGACGTTGTGATTTTATTGCAAATATACTTTACATTTGTATTTTGGTGCAATTTTAGTGTACTTTTCCAAATTTTAAGAAGGTAATCAGTTCCCTGAAATATTAACACAGTGCATATCCCAATATGCAAGCACAGATTAAGCTGCACTAACAATACCCGTCGTAAACTTGAATCAAAAGTACGCTGGTAATAAAAATGAACAATACGACCGTTTCGGGTATTAATTTTACGAGTATTGGGGATTAGGCCAACCGTAGCATGTTTTCCAGACGTGCGCATAGTTTTGCGTTGAGCATTAACATTAAAAGGGATTAATTTTGGCTCTATAGCTTTAGGCGCCTAGAATATTTATGAATTTCTTATGAATTTAAAATAGTAGTTCATAACTAAACCCAGAACGATAATACAAGGGTTCTACGTATTAATACTCATAAACGAATATTCCGGGAAATACAAACAAAAATTGCTAATGTGCAGCTATATAAAGGCATCTATAGCTGATAATGGATAATTAAAAAGACGTTTAGAATGTTAACATGAAATGTCACAGGACAATCTAATTAATAGCGATTATTTGAATGAAAATAAAGTAAAACTGCCTATTTCGGGGCCAAATTGTCAAAAGTTCAATGTTCTACATTGATTTATTTCATTTGATTGCCATTTTACTAAATCGATGAATATGTGCAATGTGTTTATTTTGGTTTTTGGTGATAACCATTATCAGTATTCAAAGTTAGCAAATTTGATTCGTATAGTGACGAGGCCCAATTTTCAATTTTATAAATATTACAGCGAATAGATGAAACAGTAAAAAAAATAAATAAAACCATATAAAATATCAATATCTATTTTTAAATTCCGTGTTTCTTGCAAATTTTATTTTTATTTTCGACATGTTTCAACTAATTGTGTAGTAGAAAATAAAAGTAAAATTTGTAACAACACAGAATTGAAAAATAGAAATTAATATATTATGTGCTTACATGAACCAAATATAAACCAAAATAGATGCAAGTATAATCAATAGCGATTGAATATAATTTTGTAGTGTGTATGTAGTTTTTATTTTCCATGTCATACCCACTTAATCTTTATATTACATCCTCATAATATGTAGTATTTACGAACTTGCCTTAAGAAAATATCCAATGACTAATTAATAGAGCATTAGTATTACAATAGTATTAGTGAAAATACAATTCAGACTTCCAAATGTGGCCAAACCAACTTTTCGTATTTGCTACAAATAGTAAAGTAAACATTGCAACCTCTTTTGTATGTTGTTTACTAAATTGACTGCGCACAGTATGTACTACACAAACTAAATCATTACTCTCTCGACTCTTGACTGATAAATGTAAAATCATCAATAAATCTGCACTTACTTTTACTTATCACGATCAAGATTATTACGTTTCTTGCTCACATTTAACACTCCTATTTCGGTGATGCTAACAATAGAATAACGATATTTATATTCTCAAAGAGTAAACATTACTTGCATCGCCAGAACACAACAGAAAATAGAACTTAATTAAATATTAATGAAAAAATGTAACAAAACAAAAAGAAATATTCTGATAAATACACAAATTTGAGAATAATTTTAAAATTTTGAGTAGAAATTGTTATTTCCTGGCGTTGCAAGAAATCCAACGCTTCATATTCATATATTTTAGAGTCTATCATCTGCAATTAATTTGGTACTGGTACTAAACGTGGTTTGGTTATGATATATCATAAAATATGTAAATTACAAGTTAAAAATTCGAGCAAAACTATCAAAAACACAAAAGATTTTGCAGTCCCTCATAATTTTGAAAGTAATACATTACGCTGCAGCATAAATATTGCGAAATGCATCAATTATTACAAAACCTAAGCCGAGTGAAAATCCTCTAGCATAATATATACAGCATCATCCGTTTGTTATTTCGGACTCTCGATCTTCGGCGCCGAGAGTTCAGTCATCTTCGGATATTTGGCGTGTTTCTTATCCAGCTCAGACTGCGACCATAAAATTAGTTTCAACAGGGTGGAAATCTTCGGCATGGTACATTCCTGATGTTCCATTCGTAGTATCGCCGCGTTTACTTCGCTAGCAATTTTTTGTCTATGCGCAGGTTGCAACAGATCACCAAAAGGACTATTCAAAGGTTCTTCAAACGCGAGTAGAGCTACAGTGCGTTCAAGTTCTTCTAAAACTGAAGGATCAGCTTCACCTGCTTCACTCAGATGTGACTGTGCAAAGGACAAAGCTTCCTCAACGCGATTATTTCGAATTAATTCAATCAAATGCAGCTGCTGTAGATGAAAATAAAGATAGCGGTCGTTGTCTAAGAGTTCTGGGTGTAATTGGTTAATGAAGGCAGTTGCTTCCTGCACTCTGCCATTTATAATTGCATCCCTAATGCGGATTCTGTCATCCAAGGAATTGAGTTCAATAGTTGGACCCACGCCGGACTCTTGTTGGAATTTCTCAGCGGCTTCTTTGAAACCCTCTTTAACAAGAGAAAATATATAAATATTAGCACTATAAACTACATTATAGTAGGGATATAGTGTATTATTGTACAAACCTGTAACAAGGTAGTTCATAATGAGTTTGTTCATGCTCAATCTGCTAATTTCTTTGCTATGCAACATCCGGATCCAGTCGTCTTTTGTTGGGAGGACCTCAAGCTTGTCTGCGCTGGTCATTGTTTAATTGAAACTGTGTATCTGTGTCTTTGTCGCGATTTATTTTTACCATAAACAATACTCATAACAGCTGAGTGCGCGTTCGGTTGTTGTGACAAGTGACAATCGTGGATGACATTCAACCTGAAGTACGAATAACAATTCATCCAGAGGGCAGCACCTGACGGTAGTACTTTTTAATTTACGACTATAGTAACATATCTACTTTTCAAGACATGTGACAGATGGCAGCATGTGCCCCATTAGAAAATAAATCCTTACATGAACAAAGTAATTCACGATTGGAATGAAACAAATAGAAGAAAGGGATATGAATAGTTACATCAAGAAATATATTATAAACTGTCAATCGCTCTCATATGTGAAATATAAATGTGAAATTATTTGTGGTTAGATACTAGTGCAAAAAATATTTTATTTTTATGTCTTATTAATGACAATTAGGTATCCACCTCCGTTTTATTGGTTTATTTGCATAATAATAGACGATATATGATTTATAATATTCATCTCCGTCCCGAAGAGAAGAATAAGTATTAAAATATCACACAGCATTACTTTAAGGGGTTAAAAAGGGATATTCAGCCATAGTTAGAGCTAAATTGAATACCAGATGGCGCTGCAGTGCTTTATTAACATTATGAAATAAACAAAATCAAAAAAAAAATTAACATTGAAATAAAATGGCGAAATCTTATTCCACACATACAGGGTCTTAAACAGGGAAGTAAAAAGTAATTACATCTTTTAAATAAACAATAGTATTGGTTTCGATAATCGTATATTTAATAACTGACGAAAAGCACATATTATTGCCGTTCCTTATCTCGATTTGTGCAGAAATTATGAATGCAATTGTGATCGTTATGTGTGTGCCCTAGCAACGTACAATACTCCTCTCCTCCTGCTGGCGCCAGATCGTCCTCGTACTGGTATGTACAATAAATACACAATACCTTATCATGTAAATATAAATGAAAAAATAAATAATAATAATAATGAATATATACAAACATAAGTATCATTTACAATAACAAGTACTAACATTTAACATCGCTTCAAAACTCATTTCCATGGCGTCGCGCGACCGCACTCAAAATGGCGGCGACCAAAATTCAATTCGCTAGTGTACAATGTCCAATAATTACAATATTATTCAATTTGTTTCATTTCATAAATAATCTTCACAAGTCCACATGTTTGAAACATTCTTACGTATTATTATACTTTGGGATCTTCATCCAACATATAGAAAATATTTAAATGTCTCTTTGATATTTGAATAGAACCTTAATTTATACACAATTATACAACCGTTCTCCTTTGAAATCTTCTTGATTACAATAATTACAATAATTTTACGTTTGCCTTGCGTTTTCATCGATTCCATTGCATCGTAGTCTAATTAAGTATCTTTTGGTTGCGTGCTCAATGAAAACGAAGACGCCTAAATGTTAAAATTTAAGTAAATCTCACTAAACGTTTACGTTGTTGCTGGCGAGCGCGTGCTGATGTTGATGGTCGCTCATCATCGACTTGGTTTCGTCGTGCGGCAGCTGTGGTGGCTGCGGCGCGCCGTTGCTATTGCCCAACCATTGTCACAACGTCTGGTAGTCATGTAGGAGGCCGCATCTAGCCGCCTCCGGCGCATGGTACATCGGTTGGATGATGTTTGTCGCCGCGAGCGTCGGATAGGTGTTCACCGGTACCTGCGTCGGCATGCCTACGCTCAACGACGCCGGCGCATAATGCGCCCCACCGCCCCACCAACACCACCGCCGCCACCAGATAGAACGCTTGCTTTCGTCCCCGCCTCCGACTCACTATCGGAACCACTCGAATCAAGATGTGCTCGTTCTCCACCGCCTTGAGTTCTGGAAAGGAAAAACAAATCATGTTTTAAATTACAGAAATTATAAATTTCAATGAGTGACAAATAGGTAGACACGTAAACAAGATGGCATCGTCGATATCACTCCTCATGGGTGTTAAAGATACAGATAAACCGATAAAATGGTGATGAATGGCCGTGAAGTAAAACCACACGAACGCGAGAAGTTGAAAACTTGGCAAGATGATGGTGTGTGGTGTTGGGTGGTTGAATATTGTTTGAAAACCTGGGGTTCTTTTATCTGGCCGCGCACGCAAGAAGCGGCAGGCCCGGCAGCAGCAAACTGCGGAATCGCTGAGCCGCGAGGAAGCCATCGGGGCGCATCCACTCGCGAACGTCGACGGCGACGACGACGACTCACGGACGTTTACCGCGTATCGAATTACGCGTTGCAGCCCGCAGGTGAAACCCGATATGACAAGCGCCGTGGACCGGCGCGAAGCAACCCAACGACGACGAAGGAACCAACCGAACGCACTAAACCGAGAGACGAGAGAAAAGGTGGAAGGACTGCTGTACATCGTGTGCGTTTCTCAACATTCAATGTACAAGGTACTACCTACAATCACAATCAACATTTTCAACACATACAAAACCAACAAAACATAACCTCCACAATAAAACTATCACAAAAATATTTTATGCAATTTTGATGTAATTTTAATAGATAAATATTTGTAGGTTAGGTAATCAGAGGTTATGTTGGATCACCTTGTAGATGAAACAAAAGTAAGAATTGCCTGATGCGGGAAAACTGAATGGCGCTGCCGGCGTAGGTGGTCCCAACTTATTCCAAACGAAAGTGAGGCAAAGGGAAGATTATAACGTCTTCGATCACATACATCACAGATCTATATTGATTAATTTATCCCAATGTAGTAAAACTAAAGAAACTGTTTGTTGCCAAACAAAATGGCTTCACAGCACAAATGGCTATTATGTTCAACTACTCTACCAACTTGAAACTATACTTTATACTTATGCTTCAACTTTTAGTTTTCCTGCATGCGCTGCTGGTGAAAATTCAAGTTAGCAAACGTTGCGGCCTTTTGTTTGCACAGTATGCGTAATATTTAGAAAAGGAGGGCGTGAGTGGAAGCCGCTGTCGATGTCGATGATGATGGGAAGCATGGGAAGCATTGGAAGCACATCGGAAAGGATGAGGAGCGGGAAGCGCTAGTCGTTTTGTTTGAACAGACACTGTTGTTTTCGGGGCCAGAGCAGCGGCTGGCGGTAATCCGATACCGGCGGGCGCAAAACCCGCGCTGCGCCCTCGTTAGCCGACGTACGCAACCGCGAGCGGCAGCAGGACCGCATTTGGCATTTAATCAAGCCACTAATTGAACGCCGCTACGACCATCATCACCGCATGCAAATTAATCAAATAGAAAGAAATACAAAAATATACCACCGAAGAGATCGAAAAGAAAAATTCAATCGAATATACTCATTGATAATATTATAAAACGTGGAGATGAAAATGTTAATGTCGAATACAATGTGTAGAATGACGGCGGAGAGGTACGCGGGGAGGTAACGAGGAAAACCGCTGTCGGATCCCATTACCGCCACAACACCGATCTCGCCCATCAATAGACATAAAACAACGCCCGTGCGCTGTGCCGATCACAGCCACAATATCCACGCTTTTTCGCTTTTCCCGTGCGTGCCTTCGAATTTCGGCATTATCTTGCATCTTCATCAACGCACATAAAAGTTACATCGAATAACATCAACAAACTCGATGTCTGATGGCTCGAGACCTGCGCCAATGCGACCTTTATACCAAACACTTAAAATTTAAAATTGTAATTTCATTTTAAGTGTCGAGTTAAATTAAACGTTTCCAGTAAAGTTCTGCGGCGGAAAAACAAGCAACCGAAGTGAGATACAGATGAATTTTTACGTCAAAGTACAAAAGATGTCTGATTAGAAATTCAGGGTGAATTTAACTGTTCTTTAATTGGTTCAACATTGCAATCGAATCGTAAAATAACTGGCAGGTTTTATTCTAACCTCCAGTACCAGCAATTGTTGCTTGTTTGGTGGCCTATATAAATAAAATCTATAATATAAAAATGAATCGCAAAATATGTTGGTAAGCGCATAACTCAACAACGCCTAGACCAATTTGACCTATTCCTGTTTTTAAAATGTTTGTTTAAGTCCAAGGATGGTTTTGACAGCGAGAAAAACTCGAATAATTACCAAGAAAACCCTAAAGACAGCTCTTTTCTAAAGGATAAATGTTGTCATTGAGATTCAATCATAGTTGTAGTTAAATAGTTGAATCCGAGATGGCGCGCTGAAGTGCATTATTAGCAATTCTTTACACAATTAATTTCTTTAAAATAAAATTGCGAATCTTATTGATAGAATTGACACATACAATGTCTAGAACAAGAGAGTAAAACGAATTACATTTTTATTTAACACTACCGGGATGAAGTCGTGGGCAAAAGCTAGTTTATGATAATGATTGTACTTAATTTGAAGCACGCTTAACGGCTGGTCTATTGAGTAATTAAATTATTAAATTAGTTTGCGTGCCATTAATTGCAACCGCAAATTGCTCCAAATCATAATAAATATCTTCTTTAAGACGTGCGCAAGCACCAGAAATAATTTTTGGTGAAATCATTAAACACGCCGGATGTGATCATTAGCAAAAATTCACTTAAACATGAAATATAATTATTTACAAATTGTTGCTCACTGTTTCTGCTCACATCTTGCGCTGACCATATTGATTATTGACCAAGTCGAGATGTGCGCGCGGAGGAACAGCACTAAACAAATACTTAATTGCCTTCTTCATTTTTCATTCCGTTTATGTGCGCATCTCGGCGGTGCTTTGTCGCTTTTCGGCGGTTTGCAAGCGTCGGAGAGACAGACAAGTGGTCGCCAGATGTGTTTGCGTACCACCCTTCTTTAGAGTCAAAGTTAAAGTTAACAGTTCCATTGTGTGCAACTACATTTATATGAATATACGAATAGATGCCGAAGAACAATGTGTTGCAGTGTCAAACAATGTGCGCCTGTTCTTCTTTGCTTTCCTCTTCATGTTGCATCCTAAATTCAACATTGTCTTGTCGCTTTTTAACTTTTAAAATATTTATTTAACAAACTGGCGCCACAAAAAGTGCATTCGTTGTAAATTAACTGTTTTAAAAGCAAGAAACTTTGTTTTTGGTGAAAATATCAAAAACCTAACCTCAAAAACTAATTTGACAGCGGGTAACA